TGAATTAGATCTAATAAAGTAAAAATTCAAGCAGTACTTGGTAAAATGCGCAAGCCCCAGTTCTTGGCTTCATGGGAGGAATACATTTTGATCAAAATAAGTTCACAGTGGCGTCTGCTCTCCTCCTGAGATATTTCACAGTGACAGCAGACATGCCCTTGTGAATGAGTAATTTCTTCTCACAAGATGGGGCTGCAGCATAAGGGAGCAGGTTAAGTAATTCCTCACAAATTATACACACCTCACTGAGTAACCAGGGCTGGATTAAACGCATTGTTTTGAGGCACACGTTGTACCAGGACACTCCAGCTACCAGCTTTACAGACCACAGTGGGAAACAGCAAAGCCCTAACTCCAGCAGGACAGGCCTTGCAGAGGATGCATCCCACCAGGGCTCCGTGAGCACCACCCTCAGAACAAGAACAGCTGGATTTGCACAGGATTTCTCCCATCACCAATGCTACTAGCTTAGAGGTGGCAAAAGTATCAGAGCCACACGCATTAGGACTCACACACGGATCCTAAGTGATCCCACAGCTGCTCTGGACACACGCACACACACACATGCAGACACACATCCAGGAACACCCAAGCACCAGTTCTGCAAAGTTACCTATCAAGGGCTTCTTTGAAGTACTTCCTCTGCACATCGAACTGGAACACCGTGCGCTCACAGTCAGTGGAGGCGTTGTCACTGCCCCCGTGCTTCTTCAGGAACGCGTCGAACCCATTCTCATCTGGGTACTTCAAGCTGCCCATAAAAACCACTGAAACGGGAATCAGCAAAGTTACCACAAATTAAAGTTAGCATTTCAAGATGTCTGGTCAGGCACTTTCTGTGGCTTCTGTACCTGTACTGTTTACCACCTGCTGCTACAGAGAAAAAGGTTTATAAAACCATACGTAATGATTCCCTCCACGTGTAACAGAAGAGCATGCTTTAAAGCGTAGCCTCATCCTCCTCCCACATTAAGTTCCTCACTAGGGCACTATTTTCATAAAAGGACAAATTTATTTAACCAATAAAAATAAATGCCAGGTAGCTGAAACACACAAAACCATAGGAATTCAGAACTAGCTAGAACTCATTTTGCACTTGGAGAAGACGAAATAGGAGCAAATACATACTGTGTTCCAGGAAGTGTGCTAATCCAGGCAGGTCTTCGGGGTCAGAGAAGCTGCCAACAGCAACGCAAAGGGCTGCTGCAGCCTGAGGAAATACAACAGTTTCAGTAAAAGCTGCTTTGAGAAATATTTCAGGAAAATGACAGCTGTATAAGACAAATCAACAGACATAACAAAGAATGAGTTTGAATGCCTAATCACAAGGTTTCAGAGCACAAGAAAGCTCTCTATAATACTCTTTTCACTCTACTGCTTTAAATACAGACCTGCTTTTCTGTGCAGCCTCTCTTTCTTGTCTCTTCCTTTTCAGCCAGCTCTTCTAATTCGCTGTCATCAGGATCATTAAAATCCTCATTATCTTCTTCATCGTCATCCTCCTCATCCTCCTCATCACAGTCCTCATCAAAACCTTCTCTCCCATCTTCAATCTCCGCTCCAGAGTCATCTTCATCACTTTCCTCTTCAGATTCATCCTCCTCCTCCTCTTCCTCCTCCTCCTCTTCTGAAGATAGCGCAGATGGGGCGTCATCCAAGTAATTCAAATCCGAAATTAAAAGTGCACGTAAGCCATTCTGCAGTTTGATATACCTGAAAGAATAATTATTTGCAATGGATACACTCAGTTCCCAAATCTGAACACACAAATGTCCATGCATCTGCATATTTCCCATCCTCCTCTTCAAGGAAGATTTCCTGATAAAATAAAGGCAGCTAAGGTGAGCAGCTCTGCAGTGGAAAAGTAAAAAGACTCTTCTGATATTTAACAGCTAACAGTGACAGGAGAAAGCAATTACAGGCAGCAGCTGTACACCCCACAATGCTCTAGACATTAAGCTTTTATGCCTCTCTCTGCAATAGACAAGCTACTAGCACCTGGGAAAGATTAGGTTAGAGAAAGATTTACGGACTCAGAATAGGTGAAACCAAACATCAGTAGAGTATCATGTTTGGCAGGCTCTCATCACACAGATTACGTGGGTGAACTAAGATATTTGTTTTTGCCTCAAAGTAGGCCATGCAGACTCCATTTTATTTGATTTTAGAAATGCTTTCCATCAAATGGGGTGTACAGGTTTTTTAATAGATGTGTTAAGTCCATGAAGTACAACTGCTCCTCAAATGTAGAACTGAAAGCACCTGCTCTGGCCCCAGTTTCCCAATCACTACCACCTGATCTGCGCACAGCAGCACCACTGAGCACCACAGGTTCGATACAACCAGGTGAAAGCACAGCTGCGTTTTTGTTCATTTAAACCACAGAGCAAGGTATAACACACAGAAACATATCACTAACTGCAGGAGGTACAGACAGTGCTGAGATGTCTGGGCACAAAGTCAATCAGCCACGTGTCCCAACGATCTGGGATAGAGAAGCACGTTTGTGGCACGCGTGTCACATCACGCAGCTGCAGCACTTCTGAACACACAGCAGAGTCCCAGAGCCAGGAGCACTGCGCACTCAGCTGCAGTGCAGGAGCTGCAGGCAGCACAAGGCAGGGCTGCAGCACGCCTTCCAGCACCTCCTCGTGCAGCTGTCTGCTTCTGCTGTCTGTGCCCACAGAGAATGCCCTGGGAGCAACACAGCCACGTAGGCAGAGAACAGCACAGAGCCACCTACCCCTCCAGAAGGCTGAATGCCGTGAAGCTGCTCAGCCAGGTGTATCCAATAGCTGTGTTTATCCCTTCCCCACACCGCCATTAAAGCCAGGGAACAGATGATACCAACTTGACAGTACTCTCTTCAGGCTTGTGGGTGATAGACACTAACAGCACCCAGCAGCAGGTAACAACATAACCCCTCTTCTGCTGAATGCCATTAAGTTCCAATGCAGGAGCACAGCATCAGGCTTTACCCAGCAGAGCATCACCAACACAGGTGCTCTTTTTCCATGTTTCAGTCCAATGGAAAAGAACAAGTGCAATCAATACACAAATGTATCAACTAGCGTGCAACATACAGATGGAAAAATACAATCACAACATAGCAAGAGAAGCAGCTTAGTCCAATGGTTGCCTGAATGGGCACTGACACAAACTTGGGGGGAAGAAAGAAAAAAACACACCTCTGCAACCATCCAGTCCTAACTGACAGAATATAGTCCATGCACAGAAGAAGCCTTAGCATCATTTCTCTCTGAACAAACTTCTGACAACATGTTCTGCAGTCTGCTTTGCTGTTATGAATGGTGTATTTGAGAAAACAGTTTGGTGGCACATCATAGTCTAAGAGTGATGCCCCCAGATAAATTAAAACAGCCACGAGATGCATTACACATCACCACCCATTTAAGAACAGAGGAGAAAAAGCGTGTGTGCATCATCAGATCTCGTCTTTAAGTATTTCAAATTTGAAATGCACTTATTTGACCGAGGCTTGCTTCTCTCTGTCCTAAGCGTGCATCTGCGAGGCTCACCTCCACACACGCCAACCAACCCAACGAGATACGTGCAGCCCCCGGCTTCCTCCTGAAACCCACCAGTTAAGCGCGGCTTTCTGTCAGACCTTCGTCAATTCCGCGGCAGCGTAAACGCGCTCTCCGGTCCCAGAGCCTCAGAACACGCCGTCGGCGACTCTTCCCACGGCCCGGCCCCTCCAGCCGAGAACCCGGCCCGCAAACGGCAGCGGCAAGGAAGCGGGACCAGAAGGGAGGAGCAAAAACCGCCGCGCGGCCAATGGGAGCGGCGCGCGTTCGGCAGCCAGCCGGGAACTTCGCTCGGCCGCACGGAAGGCAGCGCGCATCGCCCGGCGAGAGCCGTGCCTCGGGGCGGCTGCGTGCCGCCTGGGGGCCGCCCGACGAAACGGCAGCGCCGCGCTTTCGCTGAACTCCGGACGCGGGTTCCGACTCGGAAACTCGAGTGGGAAGGGCCGCCATCGGTACTGCCCCGAAACGCGCGGATCTCGGCCTCCGGACGGGCGCCCACAGAGCCACGCTGCGGCTCCTTCGCGCCTCACGGCCCCTCACGGCCCCTCGCCCACCTCAGCGCCCGCCGCCCGCTCCCCCGGTCCACTCGGCGGCCCCCCGGGCCTCACCGGTACTGCTTGGGGTCGCTGGGGGATTTGACGATGGCGGGGTCTCCGATGTTGCCGCGTTCCTCCTCCTCCTCCGAGCGGTCTCGGGCGTCGGGGCCGCTCGCCCCGATCTGCTGCCCCATCGTCAGCTCCGGGCAGCCGTAGTTAGACGTCGCCTTATTCCTACCGGGCATGGCTGCGGCCGCGCAGCGCCACAACGGCCAGGCTGAAGGGCTGGGCTGAACGGCCGCGCTGGACGGCCGGGCTGAGCCGCGAACCGCCGGCGGCGGCTCCGCCACGGGCCGCGCCGTTCGGCCCCTCCGCACGAAAGCCGCCGCGAGCCTGCGCGCGAGCCTGCGCATGCGCCGCCGCCGCGCAGCCGCCGCTAACCCGGCCGGCTTCCGCCGCCCGAGGAAGTGGCGGTGACGGTTGCCACGGCTCCAGTCAACGCCCGCCGCGGTGCCACGCGCGGAACGCGGCCCAATCGCGGGCCCTCGTTCGGCCGGAACGCGCTCTGATTGGCGGAAGGAATAGGGGTGGCGTGTAGACCGCCTCGCCTCGTTTCCTCCAACGAGCGGCCCCAGCCATCGGCTCGCGTGAAGCGCGCGGCCGCTGCTCGCTGTGGGCGGTTTGCTCGCGCGCTGATGAAATCCGTTACACCTTCACAGCTGTTCCCGTTTCTGACAACACGGGTTACGCCCAGCCCTGCTCTGCTGTTACTGTGCTGCACGCCCCGTCAGATCTGCAAAGCGGTTCTTGAGTGCCAGGCTCAAGGACCATCAAAATGTGCTCATACAGCTCGATCAAAAGCGTTAAGGCACCTCTGTGCATACACACGACTGGCTGCTGTGACACAGCTCCTCCAGGCACACCTGGTGGCCACATTTCTCTTTATTTGGCAGTTTCGGAGGGTTCACATACAGTAATGGCACTCCTGGCGTTGCACAGGGCAAATTTTCAGCAGCGGGTCACACACACCCAAAGTCACTGTAAAGATTTCTGCAAGCAACAAAATGCGGTGCAAAGGGTTTGAGCCTTGAGCGTGCTGAGCTCAAACAACAAGATAGTGGCATTTTTCTCCAGAAAACCGGTGGTTTTTTTTCTTACAACTTTGAGATGTAACAACAAAACTCCAAGAGTTAATGCTAGTGCCATCATGGGGACAGCGCCATGGGCAGATGCTGGACTCCGGATTCTGACAACAGAAAGTCTCCTTGGTCAGAGGAACGTATAGGCCTGTGGTAAAGCCATAAAACTTTTCCTAGTTACACCACTAATGCAGCCAATTTCTTCTACATCCACCTCATTTACATTTACTGATGCAACCTGCAGTCACTGCTTGGAGCTGCGCTGTGCAAACCATGGTGCAATCATGGACAAAGGCACATGCTACAGTTTTACAGATTCACAAAAGCAGTTCCTTATATTTCAGAGAAACACAAGCTCTGCACGTGGCACACATACAGAGTTCTACACCCATACAAAACTTCATCTTTTAGTACAAGTATATATTTAGTGCAATAACATTGTAGGCGTCGAATATTAAAAATTATCCATCCCCTCAAAGAATCATGCCACATCTGTAGCGTACCCAACAGGATATCTTTGATGTTTTATTCATCGTGTCTTTTCCCACACACTTCTTCTAAAATTATACACAGTGGTTGAACCTGAAACTTGAAAATCTATCCTCACACATGCACCGTCTAGCACAAAATTAAAAAATGGAATCAACAACAAAACACAGAAAAATTTAACAATATTGGCAATGCTACTTTGGCTCCTGCTTTCTTTCCAAGCTAGTGCTGTTTCTAAGTCTTATATACCATAACTTGCCTCCAGCCAAGCACACAGCAGCCAATTCCTCATGTCCATCATCCTGCAACTCATCTGCCACCGAGCAGCTGATCAGAGTAGATCCAAACGTAGGCATTTGCAACACTATGCGATTCTTTTTCTTCATTCAGTGTAACTCACACATTAACAACTAGGCGCACTCACAATATTTATTCAGTGTTTCTTTTTAAATTATCAGATAATATATATTAAACACTCCAGCACATTAAACACACCTGTTTCCTACAACAGAGACTTCTGCCTTTGGACTACATGGTAACAAACCACAGAGAAAGAGAAAATTTAGTCAGGAAAGGAGAAAGACATTTCTCAGCAAGAAAGGTCACTAACACGAGCAGTTCTGCTGTGAAGGGGGTGGGTTGTCTGTGAGCCTCACATTCCTTCCCGAAGCGCCCCTGGAAGGGTCTGACTCTATACTCTCTGACATCTTTTCACAGATTATATCCACAAGACGCTCAAACACCTGCCTTACGTTGATGTTTTCTTTGGCACTAGCTTCAAAATAGTCAAAACCTGTGAGGAAAAAATAAATTAAAAACAATAAGTCAAGACTGATGATATGGAAATGGTTTAAAAGAATACTCTTCCCCCCCCTCCCAAGAATTCATCTTAAGAAAACAAGATACTGACAATTCTTAGGCTCAGTTGACTCTCACTGTCTCAAATACTGAGCAGAAATGCATCTAAAATTCACCATTCCTGCTGACAGCTGGCACTGCTCCCCTCCCACAAAGGCCTGAGCTCTGCCCCACCAGGAGCAGTGTGCTGATCTGCCAAGCTTTTACCTGTGATGTTTTGGGTCTCACACTTTGTCTTTCTAAACCAAGGGCCTCAAAGACCAACCATCCCTTACAATAGCTATTGCTTACGTGTCCTGGGCTATTATTTTGCCAGCAGCACGAGCTCAAATGTCACGCAGCTTATTTTGGAATAAAGCACATTTATATTTTGGGGGTATCCTGCATCAGTTTCCTTGATTCTATCACAAAAGAAGGGAAAGGGAAGTCTTAAGTGACAGCCACTGCTTGTAGACTGACTCACCCTGTGCGTAGTACAAATAGGTGCTTACCCTATTCTAACCCTTTTTAAAAGTCATGGAATAACAGGGGAATTGGTGGTGGAAATGTACATAAGGACATAAGAAATCAGAGAACAGAACTATGATATTTGCGCCTGTCTAAAACTGGTTTAGTTTTTGCTGCGGCAGAAGCTGTTTTGATTCAGTTCACAGTCAGGCCAATACATTTCTTAATGTGGTTGGAAAATGATTCCAATGAAGTTAATGCTACTGCACAAGCTTAGAGAAAAACACTAAAGGATATCCTTCACGTGAATCATTAAGGTGAATGCTAATTGTTTAAGCAGCCAATAGTCAATTAAAGAGATTCCTCCCACCCAATACACAAAGTAATTTCAGATAATGCTGAATGCAGCTATCACAGTAAATACACTGTCTGGTAAAACCAGATACTTTTTTCAGCTCTTTTAAAAGACCATTCTGGATTCTGTGAGGCTGCAGAACAAGAGGGATGGGACAACACTTTCCAAATACACAATTAGCTTTTGTTATCCTTCACAGTGGAACGTGTCCAGCAGAGGACAGATCAGGGAAGAGCTGGGGATTCTCCAACAGAACAGCACCCTGCTGATGGAGTCAGTTCCTATGGCAACTCCTGCACATGCACATGCTTCCAAGCATCCCACACATAACAGTTTCAGATTCTAGATGCCAGATTTGTATTTAAACGTACAGATTAATGATTCTGGAGGGAGGGAGAAAAAAACATTTGTAGTCCATATAGAAGTGGGAATTTCAGCAAAACTCACTGTTTGATGTTGTATTGGTGTGGACAATTTTTCGACTACTAGCAGTGTAATTACTCTTAGAAAAAACGCAGAAACGCAGGCACAAATTTGAGAAACTGCAAGAAAGAACCTGGATTACTTGTACTTTCAAAGATATACTGAATTTCAGTATGTGGAAAAGATATGCAAACTGGTGATCTGATCAAGGTCACTCTTCAATCATCTACACATTGTACACTGCACCCCCATACCCGCAGTTTAACAACGGATTTTACACCTCTGATTACTGCTTAAGAACTGAGAACAGCATAAGATGTCATGAATTTGTGATTATGATTATTCCTTTCAGTTTGGTAAGAATCTCTGCTCTTACAAACTAAACAAGGATTTATAGCATGTCCAATATAAGGGTCTTCACAATTTAACTACAGTCAATTTTAACAGGATTTTCTTGCCATGTGAATTCTTCAAGAGAAGACATTACAGTTAATGCAGAAACCCAGATTCCATATGCTATAATATATAATGAAAATAATAAATACATGAGAAATCAAGGTGAGTACCCTATACTTTGTTGTCCCCTCAAAATTTTTCACTGCAATTCTAGCTTCCTCTCAGTGGAACTCTTTACTAAAGTCTAGTACAAGTTTAGAACATTCTACTAAACTCTACTAAACACATACCCAGCTGATCAGCCAGATGTTTCCCTTTCTCCAAAGGAACGATCCTTTCATCCTCCATGTCACATTTGTTTCCAACCAGGATCACCTGTGCATTGTCCCAGGAGTAGGTCTTGATTTGTGTGGCCCTGCAGCAGGATGAGAAAGACTGTTTCCTTCCATCAGCCATGCCAAAAGACAATCACACTTTAAATATAAAAATAAATACCATTAAGCAATATCCATATCCAAAGACTGTTGATCAATTAAAAGATAAATGACCAAACTTACACATGAAGCAAAATGCAACCAATGTCATCTGCAACCCCATTCTGTTTTATTATTCCTTAACTTTGTATGACAATAAAGTTCCTTAATACTTTGTGTTTTACAGATTTTTAGATGCAGACAAAAATACTGAACTGAATGAAGACTAAGGGAAAAAGCAAACATCTCCATCAGCTGCAATCTCAGAGGAACAACATCCAATCACACCTTTTATACCGACTTCTTGGGAGAGAACACATATAATAGATACACAAAAATACTTCAGAGCAGGAAAAAAATAATTCTGATTTACAGCAGCACATTTGCTGCAGAGTTTTAGCAACATCATAAGTTGTGTTTTGAGAGTCAAACACAGAGTCATGTTTGCTTCAACAGGAAAACCATCCTAGAGTCTGCAAGTTGCATGGAAACACGGAAAGAACTGCTAAAGAAAAACAGAAATTTTCCTGATTGGGAACATATAGGCTCAAGGTAATGTTCTGTAAGCTAACATTTGAACACAGCTGGATTAAGTGATACCTGAAGCAGCAAACAGCAGCTGCAATGACAGACTGCATACATCTGACAAATGCTCACATCAATAACAGAGGGATCAAACGTGTGGGAGTTGAAGCAGGAGTACTGAGGTGAACTTGAGCCACAGAGAGCTTTGGAGGCTTTGTGTGCTGAAACTGGGGTGGAGCTGTCTGTGAACCTCAGGAGTCTGACCTTACACTTAGCCTCTTTATAGCTTTTTTTAAATGTCAAAATAAAATAGATATTTTTATAATGAGGGCCAGTCTCTTCTCACCATCCTCAGAGGGTTATCACAGAGATTGCAGCAGAACAGTATTAACCTGGTAGCATTAGTTCTCATCCATTTTCCAAGCTGGCCTGGCCTATTTTGTCTTCACCAAGCCAGCTCTATCTTTTAAGTCTCTCTCCTTCCCAAAGGTAATTAGGCTGCCGTGCCAGCAGCCTAATAGGCCTTCATATTCCATTCCTCCTCCAAACAGTTGGCCTGTCCCTATCCACCTTCCCATATTTTCTCCCTGCTCACACCCAATGCAAGTTGTTTACTTGCTGTCGCAGTGCAAATCAGATGGCATGTAACTCCACAGTGGTCTGTGAAAAAGGGCTCAATTCACTGCACAACTCGACTTTAAGCAACAGCGCGTTTGATTTGCACTGGAAAACACAAACCTAGAGCAAGCCCACTGCACCAGTCCAGGTTCACACTGCAACATGCAAAATTAAGACGACTCTGTGCAATTAAACTTGAATTCCTATTACTACCCAAGAAAAGGGCTCCTTCACTTTCACTCTGCTGAGTGTCCACCATATAGACAAGTCCAGTGAGAGCTACACAACAAGTTTATGCAGTATCCTGTGCTTCTTCAAGGAACATCACAGAAGGGGAGGACTTCAGAAGTCAGCCAAAAGCCCAGAAAGATGGAAGTGTTCCATTCTCACTCTGTAGACAACTACGAGAACATAAGTCTCGCCAGGCTCCTCTTCTGATTCCTATTCCTCACTCTGGATTGGATTCAGCCTTTGAGGGGCTCACATGAAGGCACACTGCCCAATCTTGGCTATCTAAATGGAATTACTTGGAAAATGAAAAAGAGGAAAAAAGCATGAAGGCCCTCCCACTGAAACTCACCATTCTTGATTTGTAAAAGTTAGTGAAAATCTTCTCTCTCCAAACACTGACATCTACAGTTATTGGGAATGATATAATAATAATAATAATAAAAAATACTTTTACAGAGTAGAATGTCCAAACAGTCCTTATCCCTATCCAAAGATAAAGCAGCAAATCTTCAGAAAGATTTATTTAAAAAAAGAAAAACAAAAACTTACGCAATTGATTTGCTTGAACAACTATCAGGACAGTTCAGGGTACAAATTGGGAAAAATATCTGTGACACAACAATGTTATGCCTTATTTGTGCTGAAATCTCCAAGTCATGAGGAAGCACATGATTTTTAAAATTCGTGCTTAGAAGAAAAATAGTCTCAGGTCCACAACATCAACAACCTAATTTGGAGACAGTGATTTGTGAACCCAGTTGTCACTTAAACCTAAGTTAAATTTAACCAATCTTTCCTTCCCTTCAATGAAATTGCCTAGATTGTCCAAATTATATTTTACTTCCCACACAGTTTCAAATGAGGTTTAATACACTGATTGATCTACACACAAAACTATCAAGGCAATGTCAAAGAATAACTGGCAGAGGAGACTGTTAAGAAATCTGGAAACTGAAAGCCGTAAGAGCTCATTTAACCCTTTCACTCAGCCTAGAGAAAAAAACATTCATGTGAATGAAAATCTCATGTCTATACAAGACATCAAGAGCTTGTCTAAATGCCTGATATGGGCATGACCTTCCTTATTTAGAAAAGAGCACCTTTAGGACAAAAGAGTACCTTTTGTTAAGGTGAAGCATTTCTGTAGTGACACAAAGTAAACTCCAATCCTCTACAATGCCCATTCTTAAGAAGGGCAGAGGAAAAGATCGCCCAAAGAAATTCTGAGGCAGTTAGAACAGTCACTGCCAAGCAGCCAGAGACAGGAGGTAAAGTGCAGTGTATGCATACACAGTAAGTTTTAGAGATGTTGCAGCTTCATGATAAGGCTTAGAGAATAATCAAGCTAGCAAACACAACCTCTGATGGCAATTTTCACCCACTAGCTAGAGGGTGATAATAACCTCCCTGGTATCTTAGAGCTTCACAAGGGAAAAGCTCTCTCTTTGGCTGAGAGCTAACTATGCACAAGTCCACTTCCCCGTAATTTCAGTGTAATGATGAAGATGAATTTTGGGACCTCTACACACCCTTGGGAACTCAGCAGAAGCTGAGAGTTTGTCATGGGCAAGAGCTTACTTGGAGCTCTAGGTCTCAGGTTCAGCTGTTCATGCTTCTGGCTTGTTTTCTGTAGGGAGCTGTGCAGGAAGAAATGGTGCAAGAGAAAGCAGTGAGATGGGCTGAGCATCATATTGGCAGCCTGCTTGTATCTTAATAAACCAGAATCACCGAGCAGCAGCAGGCAGGCACCAGCAAGAAGGAACAAGCTTTAGAATGGAGAATGTTCTATTGAAAAACACATAATGACTACCATGCATTACAGTATATGCTAAGATACTACATAATAAGTGTACAACACAATATGCTGAAATTGTGCCTATACACTAAGTTGCCCCTGGCTAATTTCAAAACACACTTGGTTAAATCAGTGTAGAACTGCATAAAGAAAACCTAAGGGAAGTTCAGAAAAGATATAATAAATGTCTTTTCTATCTGAGAATTCTGATAATACAGTACTTTTTTTTTTTTTTTTAATTCCATCCAATGGACTTCATTCTGTTGCTGACTGCATAGGTCTCATCTGTAGCTTATCTAGTCTTTCTGTGTCTTGAGAAAGACACTCAAATTCCATCCTCACATGCCACTTCAGAACTAATAGCCTCCTCTTAAAAGGTTTAATTCATGTTAATTGAATACTGCTTATTTATTCTCAGTGTCTAAAAATGTCAGTCAATCTGCTGCATCACACTGCCTTTATCACAAAACGTTTAACTTCACAGCATTCTTTATTTACTGTACCTGGAAACAAACAAACAAACCACTATCACTAGCCAGCTAGAACAACAAGGCACTTAAAAGGGAGAAAAGATATATAGGACTAATTGCTGTAATTTCTGGAAACTTGCAGGATGTAAAAATACTGGGATGAGCTCTGCTGTCAGCTTTTACACATGTTCCAGGTGAATGCTCCAACTAATCTCCGTGAATGTTTAAGTAAGGTCTTAGCATGGCCTGCTACAGCCTGACCTAAACTTCTGTGCAAGCAGAAGCTGCCAAACAGAAGCACTGCAGGGCTGCAATGACTTCCTTTTATCACCAGGCACGCTGCTACCTTGCACACTTGACCTTGCAGGCCACCAGGCTCAGGGAGAGAAAGGCTGTAGGCTAAAGCATCTTGTTCCACTCCAGTAGCAAACACCTTCATTTTTCAGAGATCGTACAGTTCCTGACTGAAGACCAGATCCATTGCAATGGCTTTTGGTTTGTTCTTGTTTGTTTGAAATATTAAGTGCATCACCAAGCACAGTGGAAAAAGAAAAAAAGAAACCAAAACATCCTACATATTTACTATGCTAGCAGTATGCCAGGGGCTGATACAGCAGCACCAACAACAGACAAAAGCCTCGATTTGCATTTCCAGTCTCTTCAGAAGTTTAGAAAGCAACTTTGTAGACTGGGAAAAAACTCTTCGCTGCATCACCACTAGAGGACTCTGCTGGCTTTGCTACAAGTCTTTGGTTCGTCTGTGGACAAGAAAAGGAAACATGACAAGTAAAAATCACCAGTGATGGTTCACCTCTGTCCTTTTGCTGGAAAGTTCCTCTTAGCAAAAGTTCCTACTGCAGCCACTGTGGCACAGGGAGATAATCAAGTAGGCAAAGCTGACCTTTTCTTACACTGCTGCACCATTGCTTTTGATGGAACAAATGCTAGATCATTTCAGTACAAAGCCTCAAGTTAAACTTTGCCTTAAGTTTAAAATAGTAGTGCACAGTAGCAGCTCATAGATTGAAATGTAGTACTTTTTTTTCGCCATTTAACTGAAACAGGGAATATATATAAAAAGACTGACATTTGTACAAGCTTTGTCCATCTCAAACACCTGCAGAAACACACCATAATCTTCTATACCTGTATACAGAGGTAGAAAAATGGGTGGAAGAAACACAATTGGAAAGTTAGAGGCGCACAAAATAAATATGGCTTAAACTTGGATTTGATAAGCAAAATTCAAAACCAAAATCCCCCTTTAAGTTGGCTGATTTTTAGACATTAGTGCCAAAGCCAGTGACCTGGTGCTGTCTTTTGCTTCTACGCTATGTATTTATTTCCAAGGTGTTAGTTTCCTTAAAAGAGCACTACATACAAGGGATATCAAATATAAGGAAAAAGACATCTGAAAGGAACTCTTTTGTGATACAGAAGGAACAATAACAGCCCACATTGTATAACGCCTCAAGGAAATTTATATAATCAAGTCAGATATCTCCATGAACTACCCCACTCCAAGCCCTTGTTACCTGTTTATTTTGACAGTACCTAAACCCTGCGTGTTTGCCTGCTAGTTGGACAGCATGCACACAGTGACTGGTCAGACAGGTAGAACAATCCAAGTTTCCTCACACATCTCACTGCAAAATTGAGTGGAAACTGCATTTTTAGATTTGGCTAAACTAATAAAACTTATTAGAGGGGAAACAACTTGCGGACAGACACATAGATGGGCTGTATGGCCCTAATATACCTTGTTTCATCAAGAAATCAAGCTGAAATATTCCTAGTTTAGTGAAAAATATTGCCCTAGCTCACATGCCTATGGAAAACAGTCTTCTGGAAAAAATCCGTGTAGGTACTTGCATGAATTTGGTTAAAGCTGTGTCATGTGAATGAATCTGATTTGGGCAAAACTTTGGGTTTGTGCTTCTAGCAAGGAAAAAAATTTTTTTGCACTAGCTGCTGAAGTACAGGTTAGAGAAGGTGCTGCAGTTCACCTTCTGCAACATGGCATCTTGATACTGACCATAAGGTGAAAGCATACGTTACATATTTATATGCAATGATCATCAGCAGCTGCTTGAGTGGACAGTGAGAGCGAATAGGGAGCAATCTCAGAAGAATGCCAAGTTACTAGAAACATCTAACTATGTTATTGTGCCTTCTGAGTTACAATCTAGCTTTGATGATAATGGAAAGACGTTCAATAAAAACGAAGACTGAGCTGGATGCTAAGAGCTAGAGCCATGTAAGGAAGTTTTACGTCATCTATCTGCTGCCATCACATACTCCTGGGACACTGCAATCACTGCAAATTCATCTGTCAGACTTAAGAGATTCCATTAACCTCTGTGCTACCTTTCTTTGCACTCTCACCATACCTATCTGCAGTATAAAGCCACCGGGTGACACACAGCAATGACTGCAAGATATTTGAGGTCACCTAGGTCTCCCCTATCAACATGATAGTTGTAACAAGAATTGATGTTCCCATATCAGTGCTCAGCACTGAAAAGTCAGAGACGTGATCTGGTTTCTTTGCAGTTCTTTATAGCAGGGATACATCCTCCTCACCACCCAGCTCTGAGCAGACTCCAGCTGCAGTCATGTATGAAGGAATTCACAATTTCTGTCCCTCACAGAGATTGTTATCAGAGCTGGATCAGCGTTGAAGAGGTGCCTTGGAGTCCCTTTGAAGAGGATGCCATGGCAGAACCAGAGCTCCAGCAACAGGGTCCAGCCTTCCACTCACCTGTGCTGCGCTTACAGCTTCTACCTTGCAGCTGCTCAAATATTTCCATCCTTTCACCACACTCATAAGAGAATATCTCCCAGCAACTGCCAACATGGAGTCTACAAGCTCTACCCTTGGCCACACTCTCTTGCATGAAGAGAAGTGGCCAAAAACAAACAAACAAACCAAACTAACAACAAAAATAATAACTTTTTTCCTACCAGTCCTGCACTGCATTGAAGGATTCTTCACTGGTGATGTCATACATGAGGATGAAGCCCATGGCACCTCGGTAGTAGGCTGTAGTGATGGTCCTGTACCTTTCTTGTCCAGCTGTATCCTGGAACAGAACAGAATACTCAGGCTTTAAGACTCCACGTCTCAGAAACAGAAGTTGCAGTTAGGTTCTGTATCTAAAATAAGGCAATCACTTTTTATTATTACATGTTTAGAAGTTCTCATTAGTTCCCACTGAAATGAGCTTTACTTACATTTTAGCATTAATTGGGCTTTTGCATCAATGATGATCTGTTAAATGCGTTTTGACACATGTACTATTAAAAAAATAACCGAAGATGTCAACCCCTTAATTGCTCTTCTCTGCCTCAGCTTCAATGCAATAATAAAATGTTCACAGAGTTCACTGAAAGCTGACTCTTCAAAGCAGGCAATGGAAAAATCATCAAGCATCGTACCCAGCAGAAGACATAAATGCGTGCCATTTAGTGTCATAGTTTGAAATATGTCATTGAAATGGGTGCTGTGGGTGATTCAGTTCTAACCTGAGGCTAGAGACAGCAATTAAAAACTTGACGCAGTGAGAATTATTCTACAAAGTGAATTTAACATGGACTGTCCCAATGACAGTGGATGAAGTGTGCATACTAATTTCAGATTTGTTAGTTTTCTTCAGCTTAATTCTCTTCAGCAACTACCTTTACCTGGTGTTTTCACTTCTGTGTTTAGCTTGACAGCACAAAGGTGGGACTCTGTCTCTGGCACATACAACAGAAGCATTTTGAAAGACTTGAGACAGCTGGAAAGTATGTCACCTACCATCTGTTCGATGCCAACAACATTTATTCCTTGCAAACTGAGGAACATTTCTACATCAGATCAGCAGTTCTGTAGCCACTCTGCTCCCTCTGGACCTGCCTACTGAACCATGGACAGAAGCTACATGCTTAAAGGAGCTCTCTTTTAGGAAATATTTGTATCACTTGAACAAAATATTTAATCCACCTCTTGGCAAACAGCAACTCTGGAAAACAGGTGGCATAGTGCCTTATCTTCAAAGGGAACACTCAGCATTAGCATTGACTGCTATTTACTCTTAAGGGTCAGCAGTTCTGAGATGAGTTCTTAAGTCTTCTAAAACCCACACTTCATAAAACATTTACTGCCAATGTAATTAACAAAAATAGCCTTTCTCTAAGGAAAAATAGCCAAAAAATACTTATCACTCATACAGCTATCTGGAAGAGAAAAATGAAATTGTTCAGAGCACTCTTTCACAAGCACAGGGCCAGTTTCTGGTCAGACACACCACGATCCAGGGAAAACACATGAGGTATAATGAGTGGGAGACCCAGCTTGAAAATTCTACTGTCTATAGGCCCAATAAATGCAGCTTTTTTTACGCTGCATGCAAGAGACAGCATTGGCCCTTCCAGAACATGCACAAGGAATCACGTTAAAAGGGAATTCAGCCATGAACACTTGTTGCTCTGCACCAGCACATCACAGACACACTGTAGGAGGAAGGTGCTTGTAAATAAGCTCCCTGCAGCTCACTTAAAAGGCTCTGCCTATTGCTGCCATGCGACTATCCACAGCTGTAACACAAAGTGAATTTCCCAGGGGAGAGCATGCAGCAGGAATTTTGCTGTGAAATCACCACACTTCAGAGATTTTTTGCTGAAACTCGCATGTTTATTTCAAGACGGGGCAGTCCACTGCCTGGTCACAGTGAGCCATCGTGTGATGACTACAGAACATTTCTCCGATTCCCTCCTGACAAGAAGTACCAGAGTGAGGTGAACATCCCTTCATAGCCTGAGCGATCTCTTCTCCCACCACTGAGAAACCCATTGCAGAGCTCTTCTGCTCACTGACACCACATCCCCACTTTTGCTGCTGAGCGCTAAACCAGCTGCGCCACCTGGATCCTGGCTGTACTTCTTCACATGAGAAAGGTCTCAGCAACAATATTATAATTCTGTTTGTTCAGAGACATGATAGTTGCATTATTTTAGCCTGATTTCCTGAGAACACAAAGATCATAACATCACTGGTCTTTACAGCTCATGTGTGCGCACCTGTTTTAACTCTGGAAACTACTAATGACTCTTGATCAGATTTGACCAAGGAGAGATCCCAAAGGTACGCTCCTGCAGGTGTTAGGGAAATTGGTGCAGAAGAGCGATATGAAGCACACTCCTGATGGGGGAAAAAAGCTTAAGTGCAACACTTACCATTTCAAACCAAAAAGGATCTGCAGGAGAGGCTTTCTTCAAGCCTCCTTAAGAAGTGGACCTGTGGAAAAAAGGCCTCTCTGTTTAGCTGAAAGATCTAAGTCAGTACAAGTAACTTCTCAGATACTGCAATCTACAAAAAGAAACAAACCCCTAGTAGTCAAGCTTCCTTAATTCAAATGCTCATGGAGTTTCTGTTTTATACCTCCACTACCTGGTTCTACCCCCAAATCTTATCTTCTATTTCCTGTTTGAATAAGACTCTTTTTGGCTTGTGGCATGAGGCTGTGATCAAGCAGTGAGCAACCACAAGCAGCACTGTCTATCTACACAGAATCATCTGGAAAGAAACTGAATTTGACAACGGCTGGGAGCCAGGATCTGGCCGAGGAGGCCCTGAAGGAACGATGAGCAGCCACAGGGGAGGTTTAGCATGGCCTCAAAAACATGCACCACTGCAAACTGAGCACCTGGGTTCACACTTTGTGTTCAGGCTGTGGTACTGCCTTCAGACTGAAATATGGCAATTCTAGATGGTCGGTTTGAGCATTTCTGCCTGTGTGCTGCGGTGGGCCCTGCTTTATACCTCAGTGACGGACAGGAATGTGGCCACAGGTGATACTGGCTTAATTTTCCCGATTCACATCATGGCTTAATGCTATCTTCACTAGAACTGCCTTCCTTCCCCAAAACACATACATTTTTCAGCATAAGTGAGAGAAAATAAACTGCAAAATCTGAGCTCTATTTCTTTAGCTTGGACAGCAGCTGTCTTTACATCAGTTTAAAACACCATGAACCACAGGTAATCAGGTGCTTCAGTTCTATGCGCAAGACATTTAACCAATGAAGGAGATACACAACTGACACAGATTGCTTCCCTCGCCCCGAAGTTGTTAGTAAGATTTCCAGATAGAGCACAAACTCATAAGACAGGCAGCTGAGGCACAGGCAGGGATCAGCAGAAAGCCAGGGCAGCACTAACAGTCTAGCCAAACGCCTGGGCAGAATGGCATGAGCCTTCAGTAGCCATAAGCCTGCTTGGCTCACCCCAAAGAAGAATCAGATAGTTTGGTTATAGGCAGGAGCAGAACGGTCTCTGTGAGGTACATTTACACTAACACACTAACAAGTCTGTTCCTCCATAGCTTACGTGTGTGCCTGTCCTTAACACAAACGATTAAGAAAAACCCACAAGCTGGTAGCTTGAAACAAAAATACGAAGATTTTGCATTAATTAGCAATCAAGTTTCAGGGTTTATTACAGGAAAAAGGATCTAAATACACTCGCATTACGTGTGGATGCGCTCTACTCACAAAGTTCACCTAAACATTCACAGGAGCACAACCAGCTTCTTGTTATTTACTTGGCTGCTCAACAGCAATAGTGAGGTACTCATGCAGGAAACACACCTTAGGTTTTAAATCACAACAGACATTCTTTGCTGCTGCTCTGAAAGATGAGAATCCCTACCTCCGTTTAAGTGCAGATTTCCAGCTACAAATTCTTTTTCTCAAAACAAAATGTCACCGAAACGTCCTTCTTGTACCAGATTTAATCCCCTCAGCACCATGACTTTTCCAGCAATGTACATAACCAACATTCTCCATAATAAATAAACTTTGTTTTTTTGGTTTTTTTTTGTTTTTTTAAGGGTTATGTTTTTGTTACTTCTTGCTTTTAAAGAACAACGCTGAAGAATAAAAGTCACCTCTTGTCCAGATGGATGACAGCAGCACCCATGCCACTCCACTGCTGCCATGAACCCAGCACCCTCCTTGCTTAGGCTACTAAGAGACTCAGAATGGAGGCTACGTCAGCCCCAATAACCAGCACCAGGAAAGGCCCATCTCGATGGCAGAGGCTGCTTGTTGTGCACCCTGAGCTCAGCCATCACACCTCCTGCACATTACATGAAAGCACACATACACTTCCTTTGCAAAAGCAGATTTTTGACTGGAAGACACCACACGCCAACTAAATAAATGCCATTCAGATTAGAAAGGGAAAAAAAAAACACTGAAAACCGCATGGGTGAGTGAACAGAGTGACCTCTGGCAGACTAGTATGTGACATTAAAGAGAAAATGGTAACATAGAGCTTACTGTTCCCACTGGCAGCTAGAAATAGGAACAAACAGGCAAGCAAGATGAGTCACTGGTTAAGACACGGAAAAGATGCGATGTCATGAAAAGCCCGTGAAGTTTCAAATGCTGCCAGGAGCAAAATAACATCTGGTTCCTTCAGAACTCAGCGCTGATTAAAATGCTCCATTTCAACAGATTGTATTGAGCATTTTTCCTTTCTTATTATTGAGTGCTCCTGTTGCTGAAGAGTCACTGGAACCTACTCATGCGCACCCAGATACCTTGAGAGCCAGCTCCATGTGAGTAATATCAGCAACATGCAGCAAAACATTTATGTTGGGGAAAAAAAAGGAAAACATACACAATAAAGCCATTCTTGTCTTTCATATAAGAGGTTCTACCCTTGCAAAGTATTTTTTAAACATTTTCCTGCCTTCGCCCAACTTCCACTTCTCTAACTGCAAATAAACAATCTGAGATAGCAGCAAGATCCAAATACATTGCATCCCTTGATAGACCACCTACTCAGGGTAAGAAACAAAACCATCACCACAAAGACAAAATAAAAATAGGGAAAAAAAAGCATCTGAATGCAATTTCACATAAAGTTTGCCAGTTCTGCAAGATCTTTTCAGTTCTCCCACATATATTCTTGAGTTCCTCAGCCAACCATTGTAAGAACAGCTGTACAACACAGAGATGTCTGAGCAATGTCAACCACTATAAACAGCATTAATTTGCTGGAGTTGTCAAGTTGTCAAGAAACAAATACACTAAT